AGCATAAATTACAGCATAGGATGCCTTGTGTGATATTGGATGAATGATTCCTATAAACACGATTGATATACAATAAAAGTTTCATCTGTGTGCTTTGTAGAGACATTAGGATTTTTTTAAACAGCAGATGTAAACAATGAGCAATGCACTCGCAGGGACTGGAAACTGGACTCTTTCCAAGAAGCGCCGAGTGTGCTACAGCTACACAACAAAGGCATACAGAAACGAGGAAGAAAATACCGCGTATAATCCCCTTTCAAAGAGTGACTGGTGTTTAGGGGACCCATTCGCCAAATTCTGGTGGTGAAGAATCAGCATCCACCATCTTTTAGTTCGGGCGTCATTGTAGAGACATTAGGTTATTTAGAAGCAGAAGACATGAAAAATAAGCAGTGCCCTCGCCAGGACTCGAACCTGGACCTCTCGAATACGCACCACGTACGCTAACCGTTACACCACGAAGGCATGCAGAAAGGAGAGAGAAAATACCTTATAGCTTACTAGATAAGAATGTCGGGAATCGTGGAGGATGAGACAAAATGATGAAGATACTTTGAGGCTGAAATAATTTTCTTCAAAAGATATTTTAAGGTTCACTTGCTTATAACTGCTCTGTCCTATGCCGATTTCTCTAAAATCATAAAATATAAGAGAAAGGATTTTAAAATTGTCTTTTCTCTTACAATTTACAGTTTTCGTTAAAAATATGAATTATTAGCCCAAATGATGTTAGCTAAGAAGGGCTATTAGTCTCAAAACAGGATTTTGCATTGAATCACTGCAAAAGTCTAAATTGCTACTCAAAGTGTTGCCATCAAATAGTATTGCTCTGTATTGTATTTAAAGAAATTAAATAATAAAGAATCTACATGAACATTAGTATGTTTCTTTCATTGTGGAAAAACGACGGTACCCAGAGCCATCAAATTTTGAATAACGTAATTCTAGAACTGAACAATGCCACCTGGAAGCTAAATTCGGAATTTGGAATTCGTTTTATTGTCCATTTTTTATTTTGTTAAACTTTAACAAATTTTTGATTAACAAACTCAACGATTTTAAAGCGAGCAATGGCAACACTCGAAAGAATAAAACATTTTTATCTCCTGTGCGGGAGACTGTCTACCGGAAATTCTTAAGTATGCCGTTAGCCCAAATGCTTTAGAAACATGTATGCATCTTTAAACAACACATATAAAATCTGAAAACTTTCAGATTTTTTTTTTTTTTAATTTTTTGCTACTTCTGGCAATGTTTATTATTCTTTCATTTCAAATTTACCACAAGTCATACCTTTTTCATTCGGCATACTTTTTTTTTGGGGGGGGGCACCAGCGACTGAGCTGCAAAATCGCTGAATATTAGTAGTTCAATCCGGAGTACGAATCCCGGGTAGCGGGCTGGCTGCATGGGCGTTTTTGTGGTTTTCCCATGTATAATTTGTATATGAGCCAGTTTTCCTTAGAAAGACCTCCACGAAGGCCTCCCTCATGCAGACAGTCGTTGTATACTTTGCAGTAACCAAACAAACCAAATCATTCTACATTTTATTAATACTGTATTATAAAAGGCGTATAATTGTGACCTTAGATTTATGGATAGATAGGTTGTTTTGGCTTCAGGATTATATATACGGATGTTGACCATTTTTGTTGCAAAGAAATATATCATTCTGTCCTAACCCAAGCTTTATGTCTGAGCTAAAAATATACCAATGATCTAGAGGGCACTTTTAGCACAATAATGATTAAAATGTGATAGGCAAATAAAATACGCTTTTGCACGAAATTATATCTCATATATAAAACTAATAATAGTTATGATTGTATATATATAATCAATTTGAGTAATTTTTCTTGCGATTAGAAGAAAGCTAATGTTAAAATTTGTATACAGTACAACGTGATCAATCCGTTCTAAGAGTCTGATAAAATTATGACATATTCAAATGGAATGACAAATGCTCTAAGCTAGGCTTAAAGTTTCAGAGTTTGACAGTGTTCATTGAGTCAAAACGTTTTCTGATGGCAAATTAAACTCTAATTTAGAATAACATTTGAAACTGAGAGGTGTCGTCATTAAAAGGAATACCGCGTTTCCTCGCGCATTTTCCCCATTTTTTCCCTAAATTTTTCGTAAGTAAATCGAGAGGAAAAAATTATGCGAGTATTTTAATTTCCGAACGACGCGGTTATAGCAAGAATATAAGAAATGAAAAGCATTCTTTAAATGAACTACATGCAACTACCACAATATTAATTTTTTAATCAATCTTCATTCCAACAAGAATACGTAGAAATATTAACATTATCTAATATGATATCTTCATATCCACTTCCCTGTAACATGGATCTCGCCCGTTCTTACTGCTGTCTCTTCTACTCGTTATGCCTCAATGCGATACTTAAAAGTAAACAATGCGATACTTAAAACACATTGGTAGAATATAAAGGGGGATGGTAGATTTTATTATCTTGTCTAATTGATAGTCTAAATGAGTTTGAAACAGTGGGCATGTTATTATGAAACATATAAGTGCATTTTGCAAGTGAGAGAAATGTAGTACTTATTCCTCATAAACGTTATACTGAAAAGCAAGTAGCGTCCTTTAGACAGAATGGTAGAGTAACAGAGAGAGACACATTTTAGTGAGAGAGGCCAAAAGTTCACAATTGTGGTGCATTTAAATAACCCATAGTCTTGTAAACATTAACTAAAATAATTGTATCATATATATATATATATATATATTTCCGTGCTGTGTGTTAATAAATAAAACAAATGCTTTTTTCGGTTGTCATTAGTATGCTCAAGAGACGGCTGCGACAACGAAGGTAATGGACAGGAGTACGAACTAAACCCTAAGGTAGTCACATTTGTCAACTTCTTTGACTGAAACATTAGAAAAGGTGAATGTTAGTAGCCTCATAAACATCTTTATTAATCGTATGAGTATTTTTGACTCCTCATGTGATTAAATGATCTTAGCAAATACTTTTAATCAGAAGACAAGTTAATAGGTAGTTTAATGCAGATGTAGAGTACTTTAATCTAGGTAATAAAAGGAATACTTAACGAGTGAAAGGTTATACAAACGAGGCAAGAGGTTTTCATATCGTTTGCTTCATTAGATCTGAAAAACAATATGGCTGAAGGACTTCAATTATTAAGCTACAACTAAGGAACTATTATATTTCATGTTTTATCATTTAAAATTCCATTAAAATTTATGTCGAGTGAATTCATTAGAAAATAAATAATGAGCTATAACTAATTTTTGCGCAATTTAAATGGAATCAAGCTCAATTATTACTTTCGCTAAATGGAAGACTGCGAAATTGCAATAAGAACCACTCAACACAACATTTAATTTAGCTTTTTAAAATTCAACATGGCGTCATCCTCCTTTTTTCTTTCCCAAATCCTGTGTATCTCTGTCTCTTCTGCATTTTTCCGTCCGAATTTAATTAAGTGTTCGTGTAAATACTTCAAAGGAAATGAAAATCCTTACAGGAGTGGGATAAAAAATAGGTCTCCGGTATCTAAGACTAGAAAGTTTTCCACGCTTGTAGCGGACTTTCTTACGATTTTAAGGCGCCCACTTGAACATGTCTTTGTTTAAAATTAAAGAACCTAATTAGCCCTAATTATCGCATTGGAATCACTCTGTTCGCGAAGTATTATAATTAACTGGTCGCGAGTCATTTATCATGAAATTTCTTTATAATTCTGATGTCTTTAAAACAGTTGCAGGGAAATTTTTATTCCCGTTCGCTTTGATGGTTTTAAAGGAAGACTTAAACGGATACGAAGGATTTAATTTTCTACTTAAGTGGAGTTCCTTGGAAAGTTTTCGGGACGGAATGAGGCCATTTTAATGAATGGACAGTAGCACAGAGGCAGAGATTCTGTACTTTTGTTCATTTATGTAGTAAACTTTCTTTGTGTTAGATGCCATTCTGTGAGTTTTTGATACAAATTTCCTTTTTAAAGGAAGTCATTAGCTTTGATGTAAAAATATAGTTTTAAAGTATAACAGTATATTAATTTCCTTAAAATATTTCATAAAGAGAAAGCTTCCATATTTCCTTTGAAGTTGTCTCGCTTTCTTAATGCATAATATCATTCAATTAAAATAATTGTTCCTACTATCTTATATCAGTATTTTAAACAGTTTCCCTTAATTATTTATTTTATAATAGTTTTGTATTTAAATTTGCATTCTGTTTTCAACAGTTTGTCTGAAATGTCAATTAAACATTAAATACTCATTTTTGATAATAGTACACAGTGGAAAAATTAGAAATACTAATAATGAAACTAAAATTAAGACACTTTTATTTTCTGTCAGCTAGGAAAAATAGTATGCTGCTAAATGTTTTTCAACACGCTAGTTCATATCGACTTAGTTTCTTTGAAATATGCCTACTGAAAAGGTATAGTGGTTAATAGAGACTCACTTGAATCCAAGCATTTAATAAAGACTTTTATCTTCGATTCTTGTAGCCGGTGTAAATTCGGTTCACTGTCTGTGATACAGCTTGGCACAACGTTTCTTGGTGATGTTATGACTGAATACCCGATGGGTTGCCCCACTGCCAATGAAAGTTTTCGAAAGAAATGTCGATAAATGTGGAAAATGATAAATGTCGTATTTAAGCATTAGCTGAAATTCCGTAAGCTTCCATGTGTTGCTTTCTAATTAGAATACGATTTGCATCATATTATAGAAAGTGGTTACTATTTTATCTACCCTAAAGGGGGGTGACTATTGTACCTCGATACGTGATACTTCCGCCTTTGAATTAAATTTTTTTCACATGCGCGCGCATAACGGAGTGGACTGATAAGAAAAGATTACGTAAGTTTTCACCGTGCGCTCGAGAATTTATGATGTAATCTATGTTCTATTTTTAGTTACTTTTGTTTATGAATGTCTTAGAGAATGGATGTATAGTTGTTGATATTTTGTCATAACGTTTTGTTAAACTTTTGTACAGATTAAACTTAATGGCAAAATCTGATCGTGTGCTCTTGAAGTGTGCTTTGTATAACAAGTTTCTTCGAGTACTTTGGAAGTAACACTCTTGAACCAAGAACCCAATGATTCAGGTAAGTGCTGTTTTACTTACCTCTTATTTGAATACTTTCACCATTGAGAGAGTATGTTAGTATTGGGACACAATAGTACCTACCAAATTATTTAAATAACAACAGAAAGATGGTGAGTGTATGCAATATTAATTATTTGTGTTTGTAACAGTATACACAGGGGCATTTAACACAGTATATAATAAAAATGCATACATAAATATATCTTAAAACTTTAAATTTTCTTAGATGCTTAGATGCATCATTCGAAGTGTTGCAAGAAATCTATCATGAAACTATTTAGCATATTTTGGAGAATGGGATATATTTTGCTATCGATAGTAGTCTTTATTTTGTCAATCGCCTGCAAACGATGAAAAGATTCTCTTTTTCAAATAACCCAGAGGAACGTATATAGAATTTTCAAATCCAGTGAGAGAGATGGCCAGATCAAATCGACAAAGAGAAATATCAGGAGCTCTTGGAATGTCTATCCGAGTATGACTTTGCTTTTGCTTCCTGCTGTTGCACGTTCCACATTGTGTAAATCATTTTTCTTGCTCACAGTTCTGTCTGTCTTCATTGTTCCTTCGTACTAATCACCTGAATACCAGTGATATAACCTGTTTGCCTTTAGACAACTCTATCGGCCAACAGGCCCTGGCAGACTAATTGCTTGACTCCTAGCTGTCGACAAATGTACATGTGTTACATTTGTACACATGCATTCTGACAAATTGCAAACTCGAATGGCTCGATCGATATGACGATACGCACCACCTTGTAATGCAAGTCAATTTGTAGCTCAGCTTAATCGTAATATTTTATTTATATATCTAAGTTATTTAATAATATTTAATCTCGAACTTAACAAATAAATTGCATGTAACAATTAATGATATTATTTCGATTATTTGATATAGTAAATAGAAATATGTTGAATGACTTATACTTACACTCATATCAATAGACACCACTATCAGGTTCAACGTTCCGTCTTACTTTCTTTGGGAACATGCACAGACCTGACTCGGAACATGGAGCTTACTAAAGCTATGTTCAATAACTGTGGGAAGTAGACAAGATACACAGGAAGGGTATACAAAAACCCTTTATTTTTCACTCTTTACAATAATTTCCGTACTTCGGAATACAGAGACCAACCACTTGTGGTCTGAACGTAAGAATATAAAAATATTAACTAAACTCTAACTTAACTTTGGAATAATAAACAAGGAAAGATTGGCCGTATATTAACAGGAAGCCGTATGTAGTACAGAGAACTGTTAACACTACAATACGTTTAAAATTATCAAGAGGATTAAACCTCTGGCCTGGAAGGCAACCAGCAACCGAGTAAAACTGCTAAGGCAAGCGGCCTGCTTCGACTAACTCCTTCCTCTCTCTCGCTTGGCAAAAAGCCACAACTTAAGTACTTGGCGTTCGCCAGACAAATTTGCATAAATAAGTTAAAGCTTTTAATTCTGGCCGGAAGTAGAAAATAAGAAGTGATAGTAAAGATTTAAAATAAAATAAACGTTAGTAAAACTTAAGATCCTTACATACTTCCCGCCAGAGTTAATTAGTTTGAAACTGAGGTCTAAAACGACCTTGTTGAAAACTTTTAGCTCTAGAATCTAACGCGAGGCCAATCTTTTACAAACATTTCTCACTAGAAACTAGAAATTTAAAAAAAAAATTGTTTTTACATTATCAGCTCCATGGACAATTTTTTCATCTGTACTGCATCTAAACAGGAGCTTTTATTCAAATCTGGTTCCTTCCAGAGATCTGGAAGGAAAACTAGTTTAATGAAATGTTACACAATGAAATGGCAAGTAACATGTATATTTATATTTCTCTTAACATTCTTATTTCATTCATGACTATTTTAATTATCTCTCCCCGTGCTCTCTGACATGTGTTGTAAAAGAAAACACCAAACACGAATGTGTTTATGTATACGTGTTCAACACTGCCTCCTACAATCAAAACACTAACGTGTTAAAATTCAACATAACAAGACCTCGTAACACACCCTATCTTCAACTCTAAACCCTGAGGTACTATTCTGAAAGTGGCTAACTCTGAAGTGTAGCGTCAGAGAGCCTAACTACATTCATTCAACCTTTAACACATATTCACCATAATTTGGTCTTTTTTCAGTCACACGAATAAGTTTTAAAAATTTTTGGCATTACTTTCACTTTTACCATATCACAGTATTTCTTAACATTTAAAATAACAGTTCACATTGTATATAAGAACATATTAACATGCCGTTAATTTTACGCATTTTAAAACATACATTAGTAGTACATTGTTAACTTCTATTCTTTTCCAAGCAAGTGCCAATTCTTCTACATTGAAATACTACATTTCAAAAAGTCTTTCAGACTAAAACTTCTTTCTTGCCAGAATGTTTTAAATAAAATTTATACAATAACTTTTACAATATTCAAGTATTTACACATTCCTATTATACATCAACTTTAGTTTTACTCGCGAGTAATTGAAAAACATAATACCAAAATAGGTAACAACTCATTTCTCGCCTTTTTGGCGATAAAGGTAGACCTCACATGAGGTAAAACTTCTTGAAATCTGCCACTTGCAGTAAGAATGAAAGATTAACTTAAGTTTGCAAAGTAACATAAAATTTTACTTATCTTTGTGATATTCGGACATTCTTTTCTGCCCAGTCCTGGAAGGTAGCGAAGATTCTGTTTGATTTATCCTCCTTCTTGTGCGGGCTCGCCCTTCAGTACCTTCCTCTAGAAGCTTTCTTTTTCCTCCAGTTCGGTCACCCTTGAATACCTTCTTTTTCGCCTCTGCCTGTGGTCTTGGCCGTTTGATGGCAGCTGGTCTTGGCGGAACCGGGACACTTCTCTCTCGTTCCTGCTTGGATCCTCGTTGCTGGCCGTTCAAATTTTCCTTGTAACTTTTCCTCCGCCGCTGGTGGCCCTTCCGCAGTTCGGCGACATTTGCTGCGGAGAGTCCTGTCCGATGAGTAGATCTTCCGTTTGGGAGCCGGGTTATAGTTGCCGTTATTTCTCCTGGCTCTCTTTGCATTCGTCGTACTTCTCCCTTCTTCATTCTGGGGGTGGTCGTGAGCTCTCTTTTCTGGTCGGTGGAACGGCTTCTTTTTCTTGTTACCTTCAATTTTCCAACGGGGAAACTTTCTTTTCAATTGCTCCTGCCTCCTAATGGCTTGTCCTTGTGCTTGACGTTGTTCCACCTCTGGAGCTTGTGCCTGTCTGCCGTGCCGGATCCTGCAAAAGATCTTTGAAATATTTGCATTTTATTACGATCATAGTATGGGTTTTATTTGGTCAATGTTTGCGGAGCATGTTTCACCATTCCTGGCTTTTAACACCACTACAGCGTGAGTTATTTTTTCTATGACATATGGTCCTTCAAATCGTGGAAAAAATTTGGCAGTTTTATCTTCTGGTGCTGAAGAAAGTGAATGCTTAATTTTTAACACTTCATCCCCTACTTTATAAGTTACTCCCCGTCGTTTCAAATCATAATAAAGCTTCTGTTTTCTCTGTGCTACTTCAGTGTTCTTTTTTGCTTCTTTAATTAATTTTTCTATATCACCCATTTTAAATTCTGGGGCTCTTTGTTGCAACATAAAATAATTTATCTAACGGCGTTATAATCTTTCTGCCTAAAAATAACTCAGCAGGAGTTTTGCCCGTTGTATCATGTTTTGCGGTCCTAAGGGCGAAAGCAAATTCATTGACATAGTTATCCCAGCTTTTATGAAAATTTTTAACATAACTACGGATAATTTTCACTATATTTCTATTGACCCGTTCCGCTATATTTGATTGCGGCCGATACGGGACCATTTTTAAATGACGTATGCCCAGTTTTTGGCACATGTCTTCAAATATATTACTTACAAATTGAGGACCATTATCCGATATAACTTTTAGGGGCGCCCCGTATTTTAAAATATATTTATTTAAAATAGAATCAGTAACTAATTTCGCGGAGGCTCGTTTTAAGGGAACAATTTCGGTCCACTTACTAAAATGATCAACCATAACAAGGAGATAGCGACTTTTATTTAACTGACTTTTTGGGAAAGGGCCCAATAAATCGATGCCAATTATTTCATTTGGAAATTCGGATTTAATACTATTTAGAAACCCGGCCGGGCGGAAATTAATATAATTAACTGCTTGACATGTTGGGCAGGACTGGACATACGCCCTTGTTAACTTTTGCAGTTCAGGAAAATAGACTGCCTCGCGTACGCGTTGGATAGTTTTTCGAATACCAGCATGAGAAGCTAAAGGGCTGTCATGTAACTCCTGCAGGATATTTAATCTAAGACTAGCTGGGATAACAGGTCGAAATTCGTTGTTGGAATTCGTAGTTTTTGTATAAAATAATAGACCATCTATTAGTTCGTAATGGGCCGCCCTATTTCTTATCGCCACAATATCTTGGTGGCTAAAATTTTCAGGATCCTTTAAATACTCATAAATGTTTCCAAACTCAGGATCCTTACCCAGTTCGGTTATTACAGTTTCTCGGGAATTTATTGTACATGCTGTGAGCATTGCCACCTTTACAGTATTACCTTCTTCATCTATTTTAATTCTGGATAGGGCATCTGCTACGATATTTTCCTTTCCGGGGGTATGCTTGATTACCAGATTATATTCTTGTAGCTTGAGTGCCCATCTTATTAACCTTGGGGATAAGTTTTTCCCTGAGTACAATCTAGTTACCGCCGCATGATCAGAATACACTGTTATTGGCGCCTTTCCAAAATAGACTCGGAACTTTTGCACTGCTAACAGAACTGCAAGTGCCTCTCTCTCGGTCGCGGAATAATTTCTTTGTGTTTGATTTAAAGTTCGACTAAAAAATGCCACGGGCTGCTGATTTTGCGAAAGTACCGCTCCTACCGCATAATCCGAAGCATCCGCTGAAATTTCTAAATTCTCATCCTTTTCAGGAAATTTCAACACAGGGGCTTGCGTTAATGCTTGCTTTAATTT